AATGTGATAAAAAGTACATTCCGCCGTCAAGAATTATATTCTGGCTTTTTCAGTGGTATATACGCAAGCTAATGTAAATGCGCGCACCGACCTCTCCGCCGAACTTTCTCCTCGACATACTCTCTAGTGACAGGGTCGAGTCTCTGAAAGTTAGCCAAGGAATAAATATGGTACGCCATTTCTGATTTCTCTTGCTTATACTAATCCTCGCATATTTGTTAACAACCACAGGTCTCGTAATTCCATACATGATTGCTGACAGCAAATTTCCCGATTCCTTGAGACAATAGAAACCTACCATCAGCCGAAGGCAAGAAAAACACGTGCTTATGAGCGAAAACGGGTCTGCCAGCCTTGTATCCATATGGTCTGACATCGAAGACTCTCATAACTGGCCCCGTTAACATACTACCATCATTCTGATGAAGTTATGGCTCTTCTAGACCTTTTCAGCGAAGATCAAACGATGCAGGCAATGGAGAGCAAGAAATGGAGTCAGTGGCTCATCCTCGCTCTTTCCTTTCTGAGGTGATTGTCGACCATGTTCGTCACAGCATACATTCCGAACCACAAGGAATGGATTCCCCGAACCCTGGAGATATTGAGAAGATTGGGAATCTGCCTCTTACGGATGATGCAGGTCATTTCCTCGTGGGGTCGGATCGCAAGCCGAGTCGCCTTCAACAATTTCACGAGACCAGTTGTAGTTGCTGTCCCTGCATTGTTTATCGAGTCCTCTACCTCTGTGTCCCTATCTATCGGTTAATTTGATGGTCGAGGATCACACTGCAACCAGATGTCTTGCATACAATAATCAAATATTTCTTTGATGATCTACTCATGATATACGCCTGAATAAACTTTAAAATCATTGATATTTTGGAAAGGGGCTGGGCCCTTACTACAAGAATATAAAACTGAACAGACAGGGCGATACTGGTAAAGAATAGCAGAATGTGCGGTGTATGTGCCAAATAAGTATCACAGAGGACATAATGCAATGAGGAATTGTAGCCAGAACAACATGGTCGGCACTTTCATGCCACTTGATGCACGCTCATGAAGGAACTAGAGATGGTGAGCAGTGGGGAGCGGTTGTATGTACGAATATAATGGGATGCTGATGGAAAACTGTGCAGATGGAAAACGCCGGCGTGCTGTTGAAGGGCGCAGTGTTACATGAGGTATTGAACAGAGGTGAGAAAATGTTGCCATGGTGAGGAATTAGTCCATCGTGATATCAGGCGAGGAATTCGCTCCCCACGCAGAATCTGTAGGATTAGAATCCAACATAGTCATGTTGGTCCCAGTGGCACTCCTGGCCCCAATTCCTGGGCGGGGAACCTCGACCATCGAGGAAGACCTCCCATTTCCAAACAGTCCCCCATTGTTGTTTAAAGCTGAAGTTGATATACCGAGACGCGAGGTGGCTGCTTGTGAGAATGCTGCCCCCGGTACGCTTGGCTGGGATTGGTTGGCAAGTACCAAGTTATTACGAACCAGACCCGACAATTCATTTTGACTCGTTGAGATTGGCGTCAAAGAGGATGAGGGATTGGGTATATCCGAAGTTTCATGCGAAAAAGAGGATAGGATGGGGTTTTCACGTGGTCTAGAACGTAGGCTTGTATATTGTCTCGCATCATCAGCTGCTGGATTCCGATTAGTTCCGGCCCTGAGGCCATCAGATGTCGAGAGCGAGGGACGACCAGAAACAACCCGGGCAGTCTCGTTGGAGGTAGACGAAGTAGCACTGCCATTGTCAACACTTCTCCTGCCTTCATTTATGGAGCCAGTAGGCATCGTGGTAGTGGAGGTAGAAACGGCTGTCCCGTCTCGACTAAAGAATCGTTCCCATGGTCGTGATCTGGAGCTGGACGCTTCCGGCTGCTGAGCCATAGTATTTGTGGAAGACGTGGGTATGTTCGAGGTCGATGAACTACCACTAGGACCTGCAGGGTTCGGGGCAGCACTCGTGCTCGAACCAAGGGACCTCAGCCTATCAAATCCCCGTGCAAGTCGTGAAGTACTTCCACTGTTGGTTGGTGTACTCTCTCTCCGACGAGTATTCTGTGCGTTAACGTTTGCAGTGGTTGTCGATGTTTGACCGCCACCGCCGGCTTGAGTCGATGTCCCAGGTTGAGGTGCATTTGGGGGGAGTGGGTCCCACGCGTTGCCACCAGCATTCACGATGAATGGTCCACGTGCTGTACGATGTGAAGGGTAACTTCCCTAACAGAACCGACCAAACGAGTAAACAGGGCTGCCGCTATTTCTGTCCACACGGAGGTGGGAGAGAGAAAGTCAAACCCACAGTCGAGTTCGTTCGGGGGCCTACCGACTGCATCTCGATGCGAAGGTGAGACCGTTAACGTGCAAGTTGCAGTCACGCCACCCCATTGAGGGTAATGAGTAGACTACGGCTCTTTTTGACGAGATCACCGAGCAAACGATACATTAATCCCACCAAAAGGGTCATTCGCCCCTCTAAGTGACCCTGAAGAGCCCTGAGTAGCTTTAATTCATTCGAAAAAAGTCACGAAAGTCCCCTATCGGCAGATGGAAGCACAGAAGGCTGATTGAGAGTGGGGTGGCTTTATTCACAGAGGATGTTTCTTCTTTGCATTGGTCTCTCCAGGTGGATGAGACTCGCGTTGAAATTCGTCTGCCCTATCAAGGCGATGAGGGCTAAACGGCATGACATCCTCACAGGAGACAGGCCTTGCCCGCGGCAATGAGCATGCTTTTTCCAAATTGGGCCCCGAAAAAATAATAGTTTCAGCCTTGAGACAAGGGTGGTTTGCTTTACACCTGATCTGAAAATTGTCAGACAAGGAGGTTAACGATGTGTGGGATGGTGCAATAAGGAGAAGTGAAACTACAAACAAATGTGATAAAAAGTACATTCCGCCGTCAAGAATTATATTCTGGCTTTTTCAGTGGTATATACGCAAGCTAATGTAA